GTTGGAGAATGCATAGCACATCAGGGTGCATCCACACATTATTAAAGCAGTACAATCATTTTGAAATTGTTATCATTTACTTATTATGCTTCATTAAGTACTTATACAAAAATTTATTAAAATAAAACCATTTAAACTGGGTGTTCGGATTTATACGTCACTTAGTATATTTGGACTGATTGTTAACAACAAACCCCATTTTTAGGTCACAATACTTAAAATCGCAGTCAAATACAAATGACAGGAACTGATCAGTGTGACGTTTAAAAACGCAACCAACATTGCAAACGGTCAGTTAAGTGATTAGAATTGTTAGCAAGGCTAACCTGATGTTATTAATTATGTTTATTAGCAAAGTGGATGATGAATCCAATATGTAATCTAAAGCGTAGTATAGCATATCAAAGATGTGGTTCGTTCATATTACATCGCTTCTTTAAGAAGTTTATTCAGAAAGATATTTCCTCGATATTCTGCGAGCGCGACAAACACTATTCATCTTTTGCGAGCGCAGAAGATCCTGGTGATTGCCTTTCTAAGCCGGTCGCGACCCAATAACCGCGCACGTTCCAGCTTCTCTAACAGAACAGATAGGTCAGCAAGTAATACAGTGCTTTTCAAAAAGGTCCTCCTCCTACTCGTTTTTTGAATCGGTTAAGTAAGCACGGAAATAATAATAATAATATTTATTCACTCAATGTACAAAGATAACAAACAATATGAGTAAATAAATATAAAATCAAAACAGGCCCAATAGAAGACATCGCCTGTACATGGACCAATAAATTTAAGTTGAAACTGTAGAATGCAAATGACAAAAAAGGACAAAAATTAGCTACAGTAGATTATGTATTTAGTTGATGTTCGTATTTATGAGCTTATGAATTTCAGTCCTAGATATAGAATGTAGCCACTTTTTTAAATTTCTTTTGAAACAATTTCCGAAACGTAAATCTTTTAAGTCTTTAGGTATAATTTCATAAAATTTAGGCGCTAAATAGAGATATGATCGCTGCATTATAGATTTATGCGGTTGAGGAACTACTGTGCCACGAATTTTGTACCTGGTATAATGATTATGTTTAATTTTTTGGTCGGTGTTTACAAATTTATGGTAGTGAGTGATACTGTGTAAGAAATAAAGCTGTCTTATATCATACATTCGAACATCAGCATATAATTTTTCAGTGGGATAAAGTTTCGGTTTTTTAAAAATCATTTTTAGAATACTTTTTTGAAAAACATCTAAATTATAGATATGTGAGGAACATGCAGCTCCCAATGCTAATATACCATATGTGAGATGAGGCTCAATCAGTGCATGGTATAATGTTCGAAGATATTTTTCTGTCAATATATTCCCAAGGTATTTAATTTTGTAGAATACAAATCTAACTTTCTTTAAAATATAATTGACATGGATGTCCCATCGTAAGTGAGGATCCAAGACCACTCCAAGGTATTTTATGTTGGGCACTCTATTAATTTGCATTTTTTGATCATTAATATTGAAGGAGAAATTTGTGTAATTTGGTAGATGTCTAGCATAAGATCCAAATGGTAAAAAATGTGTTTTAGAGTAGTTAATGCTTAATTTTCTACTGTTAAACCACCGAATAATTTTGATAAAATCATTTTCAATTACATTTTTCAGATCAGACCAGTCAGTGCCTTCATATAATATTGCAGTATCATCTGCAAAACTAGTTATTTTGCCAACACAATTAATTTGGAAAATATCATTTAAATATATATTGAATAACAGCGGACCTAAGACAGTTCCTTGTAGGACACCACACTTAATATACATTTCTTTACTAAATGATCCTGATATCTGCACAGATTGTGGGCGATTTGACAAATAACTTTCGATCAGTGAGTACGCGTTTCCTCTGAAACCAATTCTCTCCAATGCTTCTAATAATAATTTGTGATTAACTGTGTCGAAAGCTTTCTTTAAATCAACAAAAATGCAGATTGAAGGGATTCTGTTATCAATATTTTGATGTATTTGATTTACAATTTTAGTTATTGCGTACGATGTAGCCTTCCCTTCTGTAAATCCATATTGATTTTCACTTAAAATTCTGAATTTTGTGAGGTATCGAATCATTCTAGTAGATAAAACTTTTTCAAAAACCTTTGCTACACTGGATATTATTGATATTGGTATATAGTTGTTAACATCTGTTTTTGTTCCTGATTTATGTATCGGTATTATATTACCTTTTTTTAAAATTGAGGGATATATGCCAGATTCAAAGCATTTGTTGATTAGGTAAGTGAGTGGTTCTGTTATGTCCTCGGCTATAATTTTCAAATGCTCGCTTTTAATACCATCGAACCCAGGACTTTTCCGATTTTTTAAGGACATAACAGTGGTGTATACTTCACATTGCTCGACTTTATCCAAAATAAATGAGTTCAAAGTTTATTTGGAGGCTGAGTATTTTGTACATTTGCTTGTATATTACTTGCTAAATTTTCGCCTATGTCAGTAAAGAATTGTACAAATTCATCGCATATCTGTTGAGTATTTTTTAATACTGTTCCCGATGTTGTATTTAACTCAGTGACACACTCTTTAAATTTTGTTTTCCCAGTAATCTCATAAATAGTTGTCTAAAGCCGCTTAGGATCATTTAAGTTATTATTCAATTTATTTAGGTAATGTTTTCGTTTGGTTTGCCTTACAAGCTCTATAAATTTATTTTTGTATTGGTTGTAGCAGTCGGTATTCTCTGTAGTTGGCGTTAGTTTCATTACATTATATAGTCTTTCTTTTTCTATTGCCGATGTTATTAATCCTTTGGTAATCCAGGCATTTCTGCTTTTCTCTTTGTGACTAATTATTACTTTATTGGTACTAATATCTATTAGTTTTTATTTTCTCTATGAACAGTCCCATTGTTTTGTCTATATTATTTATAGAGTATAATTGTTCCCAGGATTCTTGTTTGACATTTGATATTAGTTTTGAATTGTCGACAAAAAATTTGTAATTTTCCTGGTTGTTATTAACGGTAGGAATGTTAGAATGTTTTTCATTTGAAGATATCAGTAAAATAGTGGAGAAGTGGTCAGTAATATCGCTTTGTAGGATTATTGGTATACAAGTAATTTTGTTGGATAGGTCTTTCACAAAGCAGTAATCTACATATATACATGTGCCACTGATGGACCTTGTAGGTAGGTTTATATAGGACGGAAATCCGTTACTTGATAGGATATTCAAGTATTCATTTGTGATGGGATCATTGTCCAAAATATTTATATTGACATCTCCCAAGAAAATATGTTGCTTTAAATGAACCTTATTTTGATTTTGAAAAAAAAATTCGATATTCTTTAAAAACTCGTGGGGTTCTGAACATGGCGGACGATAAATTGCAGATACCTCAATTTTGTTATGGTTAATTTGGATCATTATGTTTAAAATTTTGATTCCATCGGCGAAAGTGAATGTATCATGATTATATTGCAGTTTATTTCTTACAAAAACTATCACCCCATCGATTTGGTTATAAGTGCCAAAGTTATACAGCGTGTCATAGCCCTGCTGATTGAAGCAAGAAATATCAACCACTTGCCACGTTTCAGTTAAAACTATTAGATCAAAATTGTACCATATTTGGTCGAGTAGTTTTTTTAAGTAATCAATGTTGTGTTTTATACTCCTTATGTTCATATTAAAAATTCGAAATTTTGCATCAGAATTTTGTGTACATAAATTAAGTTCATCGACGTTTTGTGCTATATTTGTTGCAATACTACTGACATTTTTAGGTCCTCTTTAGAGATAGGAGTAGTAAAAGATGAACTTGAATTTTAAAAAAGTATCCTTAAGTTTTGTTGTTCCTGATAATATTTGTACGATGGACAGTTTTTGTCGGTAGGTGAGTGGTTAATATTATAATTTTTTTATATCTTTCATTTCCATATCTACAGTTGCAGCATTCTACTAATACATGCTTACAATTTTCTCCTTCGTGACCGTTGCCACAGTTGGAACATATCTTCTCATTCCTGCAATTCTTTTCTGTATGATTAAAACGGTAGCATTTTCTACACTGAGAAATGTCGTTATTTTGATATACTGTCAAACATTGCCATCCCAGAAGTATTCTTCTATTATTGTCTTCGAAGATTTTTTTGAATAGCTCTCCAAAAGTTTCCGCGTAGATAGTGTAATTGTTTCTTGATGGAAAATATTTGATAAACTTTACTTGTATGTCTCCACTCTGAATCATATAATTCTGATGCATAAGATCTTCTTCAATTTGCTTTTCATTCGGTTTCTCACTACTTTTATAATTTATTATTTTAATTTTTGGATTCAAGAAGAAAGACGATATCAATTAATCATTCCTATACTTTATCGCAGAAGTGTAACCTTTTACTTTCCACGCTTACTGGCGAAAAATTATTTTGTAATTTCGACAATTTTAAAAAATTATATGCAGGGTGGCGCATCGAAAACGAAACAGACGCATTTTCTGTCAGCTCAGTTTTTATTGAAAAACGCTCTGACCCGTCGATTTTGTTTTCATGGGGGACACATGTTCGGAAAAAAATCACGTTAGCACGTGCAGCCCCCTAAGCGGGGGTGACACCACCCCCAAAATCTTAAATGGAGAGGGGGGTCGAGTGATACCTTATTTTAAAGGTATTATGTTTTTTGGATACACATTCGTTTATATCATCACCTTTAAATTTGGTTTTCTCCAGAACTTGAACAAATGTTAATTGAAAAAAAGAAACTACAGAAGAAGTACATCAAATCTCACTTGCTGAATGGTTATCATGAGTTTTCTATTCTCAGAGCTCAGTGTAAAAATCTAAAAAAACAGTGTTATCTGTCAATACAACTGAATCTTCTCTTGGAGAAAACGTGAAAAATGTTTAAAAATTTATTATGGATTATCATTACATATCTTCAGAAGTACATTATAATAATGTCAGTAGTTCTTTTGGATTACAAATTATCAATTTGTTTGCAGAGTACTTCTTTAGAACCTACAGTGTAGAGAATAGTACTGTTCAGAATAGTAATCTTTCTTATAGGGTCATCGATTTATTTATCTACGAAATTCTAATCTCAGCTATCTATGAAAAACTGTCCAAATTAGACGCTAATTAAGGCACTAGATATGGTGGTGTACCTTCGTCGATGATTAAACATTGAAGCTTTCTGATTTCAAGACCTCTATTTTATATTTTTAATCTTTCGTTGAAGAGTGGTGCTTTTCCGGAATGTTGGAAAACAAGCTTCATTACTCCAATACTGAAATCTGGAGATCCTTCACAAGTCAAAAATTATCGACCTATCAGTAAACGAACTCGCATTGGAATCGTATTTCAGAGATAGTGTGTGAATTTTTATCCGCAAATTTGCGAAGTAGTTCTATAAGCCAACAGTTTGGATTTCTTTCAAAACGCTCCACAAAGTTAAATCTTTTAACAATAACAAACTACTTTTTGGAATCCTTGGAGGAACGTTATTCTGTTCACGTAGCTTATACAGATTTTTCTGAAGCATTCGATAAGGTCAACCATGAGATTGTTACATTTTCTAGGAATTTGCGGGGATCTTTTATCATGTCTGAAGTCTTACCTCACTGACTGAAAACAATTAGTGCGTATACAAAGCTTTCAATCAAATAAGATTAATGTGCCATCCGGAGTACCACAAGGTTCCCATCTGGGTCCTCTTCTTTTCAATATATATACTAAGTGACATATAAATCCGAACACCCAGTTTAAGTGGTTTTATTTTAATAAAATTTTGTATAAGTACTTAATGAAACATAATAAGTAAATGATAAAACTTTCAAAATGATTGCACTGCTTTAAAGCCCTTTGACCTTTAATAATGTGTGGATGCACCCTGATGTGCTACGCATTCTCCAACGCACCTAGGCATGTTTCTGATCAGGTGGTCAATGTCCTCCTGTGGTATCTCATTCCAGGCAACCACCAACTCTTCTCGAAGTGCTTCTAGAGTCTGAGGAGGACGTTGCAAATTGAGCAATCTCCTACCCATCATATCCCACACGTGCTCAATTGGGGATAAGTCGGGAGATCTTGGTGGCCATGGTAACAATGTGACATCATTATGTTGAAAGAAGTCTATTGTGACTCTTGCAACATGTGGTCGGGCATTATCTTGTTGGAAAGTTGGACCTGCCAGGGTGTCAAGATAGGGTAAAAGATGGGGTTCTAGAACTGCGTGGATATAACGCTGCGCGTTCATGTTACCTCTGATGAAGATTAAAGGTGACCTGGAGCCATAAGCTGTAGCACCCCAAACCATATCTCGAACAGTGTGATGAACATGTCTTTCAACAAAAAACTGTGGATTCCTCCTTTCACAAGTCGCCTTCTAACCCTGGTAGTGGAGAAACGGTCCCTTAAGGCCAATAATCTTAGGCGGCGATCTTCACGGTCTGTTGTTCTACGGCGGCGTCCAGTGCCCCTTGCTCTTTGCGTACGGCCTTCTCGAAGCCATGCCTGACAACACCTAACCACAGTGTCTACACTTCTTTGCACTCTAACTGCAATTCCCCGAAAAGAAAAGAAAGTCCAGCTTCCCGAAGTCCCACTATACGGCCCTTATCAAACTCACTAAGTTGACGAAATCGTACAGGTCTCCGTACTCTAGGCATCGTAACCGATCGTAAAGGATGTCAAGAACCAAAATCCGCCAACGTTGATTGTTTACTGCGACTGAAATATTCATTTTTAGAGCGTTAGTGAATTAAAAAAAAGGAGTATAAAAACCGGAATGTCCAACTGATAAGGCTGAAATTTTTTTCACTTGTTATTTACAGTAAGATAAATACATTCACCAACTTTTATTAAAATAAAACCATTTAAACTGGGTGTTCGGATTTATATGTCACTTAGTATACGTGAATGATATTATATACTGTTTTAAGTCTGTTAGTTTTCTAATGTTTGCAGATGATTTGAAGTTATTCTTAAAAATCAAATATAATAATGATTGTATAAATATCCAAAATGATTTGAGTCTTAAGTCTCTGGTGTCAAATGAATAGAATGGAACTTAATGTGGAAAAACGTCATTTAATGGTCTTCAGCCGTAACAGGGACCCCATTGATCATACTTATACCATGAAAGGTTGTCTTCTAAAGAGCTAGGGATTTAGGGGTAATTCTTGACCCAAAATTATCCTTTATTAGCCATATAAATATGAAAGTTTCTAAATCTCTTCAACAGTTGGGATTTATAACACGATGTGCTAAGGATTTTCATAATATTCAGTCATTTACGACGTTGTTTTTTTCTTTGGTGAGGCCCCATTTGGAGTATTGTTCTTGTGTGTGGTCACCCAACTATAATGTTCATATTCAGGCAATTGAGAGAGTTCAACATTAATTCTTAAGATTCACTTCATTCAAACAAAACATTATGGTTGAAGATATCATCCATTCCGTCATTGAAAGCTCTCTCAATATCTCAATCTTTCAGGTAAGACGGAATCAGAGGGACCTGTCACTATTTTATAATATTTTGCACTCTCTTAGTTTTGCTCCAGAACTTTTGAAAAATATTATTCTCCATGTGCCTTCTCGTCAAACAAGACTGAACCAACCATTCCATGTGAAATAATTTCGTCCTAATTATGCTAGTAATTTCTTCCTGTTTAGATCTTCAAGGTTAGCAAATCAGTATTCTAATAAGTTGGATTTCTTCAGAAGTCAGAAAACATTCAAAATTCAATTAGATTCCTGTTCGTAATATTTAATATTTGATTTCCATACATATTTAAATTTTAATTAAATTCGTTTCAATTTAGAAACGATCTGGATTGTAAGGTGTTTGTGATTGTTTTAAGTGTTAAACATCTAAGTCAAAGTAGGGTTAGGTTTACATTAGATTTTCTATCCTGTACTTTAATTGGGCAGCCGCTCGGTGATAAATAAATGAATGAATAAATAAATAAATAAATAAATAAATAAATAAATAAATAAATAGATAGATAGATAGATAGATAGATAGATAGATAGATAGATAGATAGATAGATAGATAGATAGATAGATAGATAGATAGATAGATAGATAGATAGATAGATAGATAGATAGATAGATAGATAGATAGATAGATAGATAGATAGATAGATAGATAGATAGATAGATTAGATAGATAGATAGATAGCTAGATAGATAGATAGCTAGATAGATAGATAGATAGATAGCTAGATAGAATATATAGATAGATGATAGATAGATAGATAGATAGATAGATAGATAGATAGATAGATAGATAGATAGATAGATAGATAGATAGATAGATAGATAGATAGATAGATAGTAGATAGATAGATAGATAGATAGATAGATAGATAGATGATAGATAGATAGATAGATTAGATAGATAGATAGATAGATAGATAGATAGATAGATAGATAGATAGATAGATAGATAGATAGATAGATGATAGAGATAGATAGATAGATAGATAGATAGATAGATAGATAGATAGATAGATAGCTAGATAGATCGATAGATAGATAGATAGATAGATAGATGATAGCAGATAGATAGATAGATAGATAGATGATAGATAGATAGATTAGATAGATAGTAGATAGATAGATAGCTATAGATAGATAGATAGATAGATAGATAGATAGATAGATAGATAGATAGATAGATAGATAGATAGATAGATAGATAGATAGATAGATAGATAGATAGATAGATAGATAGATAGATAGATAGATAGATAGATGAGATAGATAGATATATAGATAGATAGATAGATAGATAGATAGATAGATAGATAGATATAGATAGATAGATAGATAGATAGATAGATAGATAGTAGATAGATAGATAAATAAATAAATTAAGGTTAGACGGGAACCAAGCAATGAAAAACACGAAAACGTTTAAACGATGTAGAAGTAGCTGTCGTTTTTTCAGACTATTAACCGAAAGAGTTTTCAAATGTTCACATGCATATTGTATATTTTAATAGAGTTATAATAACGTCCGACGGGAAAATGTAGCTCTTGCTAAACTTCTGCAGGCCTGCTTGATTTAAGGCATTTTTAGAAGATGAACCACGATATTCGCCTGACGCGAGTCCTTGCGATTTTTTACCCTCCCGAAGTTGGAAATCACCGCAAGGGAACTAATTTTGGGACAGGCAGACTGAGTGGCGAGAATATTTCTAACGCGGCTGGGACGTTTTACAGCACGTTCCGTTAAAATATCCATAAGCAATCGAGCAAAATGCTTCGCTACTGACTTATAGATTGTAAAATCGGGTTTACAATCCGCTCTATCGTGTGTAAGCCGCAGCTCCGATCTGAGAATTCAGTGAGGGCCAGAACTATTTCCGAGAACGTAGTAGCATCGCAGATTTTTCGAATAATCGATAACGGCAAAGAGAGGCTTGGCCTAGCGAGCCGTGAAAAATGAGCATAGCCGAGCCACTATAATTGGAACCGACCGATCGGCATAGAGAGGGTCACCCGACAAGCCTTTTAGCGCACGTCAAGGAAAGGATAAACGGAAATACAGACAGACGGGGACGCAATTAAAGGAGATTAACGTGCTACCAGCGCGACAGTTCAGCGATAAAATTGTAAGGCTACAACAAACTGTACGTAACGTGCCCAGTAGCAACGAAATCGGATTAACAAGCGAATATATTTTGTAATGTTCCACTGAATGGTTTTCAGGACGAGTCTTTGGTTTGATCGGTTGTATCGGTCTTTTAATAGCGCGTACACGATTTCTTTTGTGCGAAGAAATGGTCCAGGTTTACGATACAATGAACTATACGACATCTTTTTCTTTCTACCACTCCTTCTATGCGCTGTGCACATATAAATCCGAACACCCAGTTTAAATGGTTTTATTTTAATAAAAGTTGGTGAATGTATTTATCTTACTGTAAATAACAAGTGAAAAAATGTTCAGCCTTATCAGTTGGACATTCCGGTTTTTATACTGCTTTTTTTTTAATTCACTAACGCTCTAAAAATGAATATTTCAGCCGCAGTAAAGAAGCAACGTTGGCGGATTTTGGTTCTTGACATCCTTTACGATCGGTTACGATGCCTAGAGTACGGAGACCTGTACGATTTCGTCAACTTAGTGAGTT